TTTCAAGCAACACAACTGTAACATCCACAGCTCTTCTAGTGTCGACGTCTAACGGCAACGGACTGTTTGGCGAAACTACCGCCATACCGTCTTTGTCCGTATACTGCATCTGTTGAACACCTTAACAGCAGCTTTTCGAATATTCATAGTAGGGTTTCTTATCTATCACAAGGATTGTACATTTGTGAATGACGAAGTGGACCGGAGATGACTCAGTGGTTGGTGCGCGAACTTATCGACTGGAACGTTCGTGTTTCAGACCTAGCATCTAATAATGGTCTAAATAATCGTTCGGCTGTAACGCTCTTTCGTTGCCTAGCCGTCATGCCACCCGAAGGAAGTACGAGCGCAGGGAAACTGCCAGGTTGCCCAAGCCTAGACAGGGGGTGTCGAGAGGCAGAGGTCGGGTTCGAACCACGGACCTTCCGGTCACTAAATTCGCGCCCTAACTACTTGGTCCATCTCGCCACCCGGCGTTTCGATCACTTTTATCTAGGCTTGTGGTATCTCAGCTCTCGTGTTTCTTTGGAAAGGCATGGCAACGGAAGGGAGTTACAGCCGAACTATTTTTCCCATTGCAGTTAGGGATCAGTGTTGCTGGTAATCACGATGAGTTAAGTATCCCCAAAAAAGCCCATGATACTTTCGCGAATTTTTCAAGCCAGAGGTTCATAGCTGCTTCCGTGTCGGTTTGCATGAACCAACTAAGCGTTTCGTGATTGCATGACCTACCCAAATTTCAGGTTGTTCAAATAAGATTTCGACCCTTCTGCACTTCCGTTCGGCTGTAGCACCCTCTCGGTCCCAAACTGCCTTGCAAAGAGAAGGAAGCTCGAGGGCTGGGATTCTACCACGGTGAGGAAGCACGAGGGCTGGGATACTACCAAGGTGTCCAAACCTAGACATGGCAAGTCGAGAGGCAGAGGTCGGGTTCGAACCACAGACATCGCGGTCAATAAATTCGTGCTCCAACCACTGAACCATCTCGCTGCCATAAAGGCGCGATATATAACTCCCGGTCGGTCTCAGGAGCCTGCATTCTCAGCTGTTTGAGGCAGTTGTTCAGCTGAGTTTCTCACTCTCTGTTATCGTGCTGGTAAATTGGTTGTATCCGATCCGATAGCGCTCAGCTTGTCTACGTAGTCCAATCTATTCCCTACGACAGTTCCGTTTTTTATCAGGGCGCTGTAATATGACCTCTCCGCGGCTTTTTAACTATCTTTGGGCTTCCAGATATGTTTATCACTGGCAAATATCGCTTTTGAGCTGCTCAAAATCGTCGACAGTGGAAGAGACCGGATGCTGGTCTGATCACTCTGACCGAACATGTTTTCATCAACCCCTAATGGCACAGAGCCGAATCCAATTAGAGCTCGTAATGGAAGGCTTGATGTGCATTTGAACAAACTGTTGGGATGTTGTGAGGGTTCATGCGAATAGGACCATTCTACTACTTATGAGCAGTTTTGTGCCACTTGAAATAGTCTATGTCGAGGCCAACCAAATTTGTTAATAACGATGACGGAAAGGGAAAGGGAAATGCGGTGTGAGAGAAGTTGTAAACCACTGCCCAGCAAGTCCGTGGAAAATATTTCTGTTTGTTCTGCATCTCTCTGATAGGTGGACCAAGCACACTGTCCAAGGTAAGCAAGCAGCTGCCTGTGCATGGGTGTGTGTGCGCACGCAGCGGGTGACGTGGCATGGTAGTTTGCCTTCGGTGCGGGGCATGACCTTGATATGTTTGTTCAGCTGGTCCCTCGCTTGTTTATCTCTTATTCGATTGTGCAAACTGAACGAGTGACTCAACAGTCAGTGTGGTTGACCTTGGTGAGATTGCATCTCTCTGTTCATTTTCACCGCCCCATGCTATATTGATTTATGTCTGTATCAACGTCATCATCATCATCATCATTCGTGACAGCAATACACCAGTGCCGCATGCTGAAACTTAATTGCCCTACAAACATGAGGAAACAATGCCCTTGTAAAGAGCGTCAGCGTGAAGAAGGCCCAGCTTCTTAAGGAAAACGATGAAAAATGGGGTGGCTGTACCTTTGCACAGTAAGCCACCACCAGCTGGATCAATCCACAGCTGATTGGATCTGTGGCCGGCTTCGATAACGCTAGGCCTGTCTGGTCACGTTGACAGTGGGTAGCCTGCCGTTTATACACAGTCTGTCTGTCTCACAGCATCACGGGAAGATCCCACAAGACATACATACCCTTAGGTCACCAAGAAAGAGAGCATTTTGCAACGTCGCCTCTGATTTTGCGTTTCCCCGGCATGCTTTCATTTTATATGCATGAAGGAATGCGATCTGAAGGAATTCACCTTGGCGACTGTGCTAATCTGCCTTTGTCCCATCGACCACCACTCTCTTGTGAACCGTTCCTTTTTATCGCTCTGCGTGAACTGATATGCTGACGAGTGTAAATCACCTTGGTGTCGACTGAATCTCTCGTTTACGGTATTCTTCCAGCGAATGTGCTGTCTATGTTTCACGTGGCCGGATGTCGAAGTATGCTTTCTTAACTTAGAATATCCTATAGGGTTCATTAAGGAAACTACTCACATGGTTGCTGAAAACTCTTCGACAGCCCACGTCCGGTTTCGCCCCAACATGGGGCTCATCACGTAGGCTCAGTCCCCGGTCAAGAGTTTTCACGTAGGCTCAGTCCCCGGTCGAAGAGTTTTCAGCGCGACCTTGTGAGTAGTTTCCCTTATGAAAATACATACTGTGATATCTCGAATATCGTGCCAACTGAATCATGAGATGGCTTGTGTGCAGCAAGAAGGTCTACACCTGTACTAGGCTTTCAAATAGCTTTCAGTAACCTTGCAAGTATTGCTGACGTATCCTTTCTGATAACCAACCCGTGATACAGGTGACACAGAAAAGGCGGGCGAGTAAAGAAGACACCCAGATTGGGGACCCTAGTGAAACACAGTGCCACGTTTGCTCATTTTCCCTTCTCACTTATCACGTCTGATAGTTAGTTTGCTGATGCGGCAAGTTGATTCTCGTCTACACCCTAACGGGAGACTCAAGTGAATCTGTTCCGCTTCAAGTGAGTGCACTGCGTATGGGGTTTCTGGCAACCTCGTTAGTAGTGTGTTGTAACTTCCAAACCCTGAGGTCAGTTAGTCATCCCAAATTGGCTGGCGACAGTGCTTATTTCGGCTTCAAGCTTGTCCAGAGCCATTTGCACCCGGGATACGAGGCTGCGCATGAAACCTACGTTCACTAAACCCCTCCAGGTCACACTTTAGCCAGATGTTTGGCACCCCTCAGTTCTGATCTGAGACGGGACGATGTTCGTCTTGCCTCTCCATATTCCCTTCTGTTCTGCCGGTTGTCTTGCTTGGATTTCGGCTAGACTTTGCGTAGTCCTTCTTGCTTAGACCAAGTGACTGTTCAGTCACGAGAGGCCGAAAAAACGTTTCCCTCTTTTTCGAACCCCAATCGAACGCACTTTTATTCGGGATAATTAAGGTGCAATCAGGCGCTCAGCAGTTGTACCCATTTGCTTCGCTCCGTACCGTTAGCCGTCCCGTCAACCGTTGTTTTTTCTCTAGGCCGAAAGTGAATTGTTCCCGCTCTTCCTTTGGTCCTCCTTTGGTCCCATCAGTCCGTCCGTCCGTTCTTGTTCTTGTTTGTGCACTCTGTTTTTGTCCTTACCATCTCTCTCTCTCTCTCTCTCGCTCGCTCGCTCGAGCGCGTGCGCGTTCACTTGCCGCCTCTAAAAATAGCCCATGTGTACCAGCGTCGTCATCATCACTAGCGCAAACAAGTTACTGAGCTTGCCCAGGTATGCGATGCCCTCTTTCTTGTTCCTTATCAAAGCGCAAAACAGCTGTTGCTAACGCGCTGTGACACCACCTTCCTCCACCACATACACGTAGCTCGCGCACACACACCTGCGGATCATGCGTCCACCACCCGAATCAGGT